GAAGGATATGAGTCAAGGTGCTAATATTAGGGAGACCAAATAACATCTTCTCTTTTGTTACTAGAGCTTTGTTTTAGTCTGATTGTGATTATGAGATAAGTAATACTTAGTTTAGCTGATGCCCGCTTATTTGTGTTGCCTTTTTTTTTTTTTAATTTGACAGAGAGAGAGACAGCCAGAGAGGGAACACTAGCAGGGGCAGTGGGAGAGGGAGAAGCAGGCTTCCCGGCGAGCAGGGAGCCTGATGCAGGGCTCGATCCCAGGACCCTGGGATCATGACCTGAGCCGAAGGCAGACGCTTAACGACTGAGCCACCCAGGCACCCCTGTTTGTGTTGCTTTTAAGTGAGGTAGTGATATGGGTCATTCAAAACAACCCAATATTTGAATTCTAAATAAACTCTGGATTTTTTCCTCAGCAGATTTGATTCCTAGTATATTAAAATAAATTTTCACAATTTGAGTCGTATACTCAGTAAGAATAATGAAAACAGGTCAAGAAGTATGCTGAATGCTTGAGTTCAGCTACCTGCTCACAAAGGACTCCCATGACTGCTCTAGCTAGAGTTGCCTCCCCCAGTTACTTTCCATCATTTATATATAATACTTCCAGCAACCTGTCCTGAAGTTTACATAAAAATCTAAGATAAACAAATAGATATATACATATAGGTAAATAGCTGGAGGATTTAATTATTTTAGAGCTAAATCTTAAACTACACAAAATTAAAGAAAGACAAAGTAGACAAAGATCAGTATCTCTCAAATTTTAAGCGCATACATAATCCTAGGGATATTACAGATTCTCATTCTGTAGCCCTCCAATGGCACCTGAGATCATGCATTCCTAACAAGCAACCAATGATGTCCATGCTGCTATCCACAAAGCACATTTAAAATAGTAAGACTCTAAATTATTCTTGACAAGGTCTTCAACTCAAGCATTCAGCATACCGAATGGTGGAGGGGTTTATTCATCTAGAACTTTACTAGATTTCACCAAATTGTTTTTTAAATTGTTATACATATTTATACTTGTCTTGGCCTCTTGAGTCTGGGAACTTAGCTTTTTACCTTTGTGTCTATTTTTAATAGCATTTACTTGGCACAGAGTTGGTAAGTATTCACCAATAGTTTGGGGAATGAAAAGGAGGATTTCATACCAATACTTGAATGACTACCATGTTGAGCAGTTGTTATTTTATCAATTTTAGGTAAATTTTACAAGATTAATTTTATAGAGTGGATAACGCAATTGGTTAGGCTTTTAAGAGTTTATTTTTGAAGGTCCCTAACTATATTGGTTAAGATGCGATAGCTATATTCCAAAGAAAGATGCGTTGACAAAATTGCATTAGTATTTCAATTGGTAAAAAACGATTGGGGCTAACATTTCCCATAAGTGATAGCCATGTATAAAGCTGTGTAAAACCTGAACATCACTTAACATTTAATTATATCTGGCTTTTTGTTCAATAGTAATATGCCCATTTTTTTCTATTACTGCTAAGCATTATTCTTGTATTTTGCTTTTATACATTTGATCCCTTTTTTATTTTTGGTTATTGTAAAAATGCACCACTCTATTTGGTGCTACAACTTTTTACCTGCATGGACAGTTACTATGACATCATGCAAATGATATGGTCTTGCTTGCTTTTTTTTTTTTTTTTTAAGATTTTATTTATTTATTTATTTGAGGGAGAGAGAGAGAGAGAGAGGAGCCAAGGGAGAGGGACAAGCATACTCCATGCTGAGTGCAGAGCCTGACGCAGGGCTCAATCCCATGACCCCAAGACTATGACCCGAGCTGAAATCAAGAGTCAGATGCTCAACTGACTGAGCCACCCGGGCACCCCACAAATGATGCTTTCTAATTAATTCATTTAGTCATAACATTTGCTGCATCAGAAAAATTGTGCTGTAGAGAAAAGTCTCCATTTGTATTTAGCTGTGGGTCTAACATATTTTGAGGGGAATCATTCTATTTTAAGAAGAAAAATGAAGCCAACACTTGGAGAGTGTTGAAAGTCTTTTCCCATCACGCTCTGGATTCACTGCCCTTTTGGGAATTGTTTCTGAGGAAATTTTAAGATACAGTTGTTTTGCAGACCAGTATAGAAATTTTCTGGAGTAGGAACGTATTGTATTTTGAGTTTCAAAATTTCTTAAGATGACAATAACTTGCACTTAAGTAGTGCTTTAAAACTTCCAAAATATTTTCTGTACAAGACTCATCTCAGTAATGAGGCAGCCAATGCTGACTCCACTTAACATGAGAACCTTGTTGCTCGGTTTGTTATTAGTGCAGGGTAATTCATGCAGCTCAGTGAGGGCAGAGTAGGTTGACAATACAGGCTTTTGGTGTTTAATTCATTTCCATGCTTTCAGCAATCAGACATTTAAAGAAAACGTGTCCCAAATGTTTTGTCAGTTTATAGGTGTCACTTCTCAAACTTAAAAGCAGGATATTTTGGTATAAATTGTATATGCATAAACTACTTCCTAAAGAATTTTGGAGAGGAATGTGTTTAGTTTTACTGCATTGGAATTACTGGCTTCAGTAATGAATTCATCTCACTCAAATATTTTCCTCCTCCTGATGATAGCAACCTTCCTCTTAAATCCATACCATGACTCTGTGGTCAACTAATCTTCGATAAAGCAGAAAAGAATATCCAGTGGAAAGAAGACAGTCTCTTCAGTAAATGGTGCTGGGAAAATTGGACAGCCACATGCAGAAGAATGAAACCGGACCATTCTCTTACACCATACACAAAGATAAACTCAAAGTGGATGAAAGACCTAAATGTGAGACAGGAATACATCAAACTCCTAGAGGAGAACACCTCTCGACCTCGGCTGCAGCAACTTCTTGCAAGACATGTCTCTGAAGGCAAGGGAAACAAAAGCAAAAATGAACTATTGGGACTTCATCAAGATGAAAAGCTTCTGCATGGCAAGGGAAACAGTCAACAAAACTAAAAGTCAACCTATGGAATGGGAGAAGATATTTGCAAATGATGTATCAGATAAAGGGCTGGTATCCAAGATCTATAAACAACTTATCAGACTCAGCACCCAAAAAACAAATAATCTAGTCAAGAAATGGGCAGAAGACATGAACATTTTTCCAAAGAAGACATCCAAATGGCCAACAGACACATGAAAAAATGCACCACATCACTTGCCATCAGAAGATACAAATCAAAACCACAATGAGATACCACCTTACACCAGTTAGAATGGCTAAAATTCACGAGACAGGAAACAAACAGATGTTGGAGAGGATGTGGAGAATGGGGAACCCTCTTAACACTGTTGGTGGGAATGCAAGCTGGTACAGCCACTCTGGAAAACAGTATGGAGGTTCCTCAAGAAGTTAAAAATAGAGCCACCCTACAACCCAGCAATTGCTTTACTGGGTATTTATCCCAAAGATGCAGATATAGTGAAAAGAAGGGGCACCTGCACCCCAGTGTTCATAGCAGCAATGTCCACAATAGCCAAACTGTGGAAGGAGCCGAGATGTCCTTCAACAGATGAGTGAAGATGTGGTGTATATATACAATGGAATATTACTCAGCCATCAGAAAGGATGAATACCTACTATTTACGTCGACATGGATGGAACTGGAGGGAATTATGCTAAGTGAAATAAGTCAGTCAGAGAAAGACAATTATCATATGGTTTCACTCGTGTGGAATGTAAAGAATAGTGCAGAGGATCATAGGGGAGGGGAGGGAAGACTGGATGGTAGAAATCAGAGAGGGAGACAAACCATGGGAGACTCTTGACTCTTGACTCTGGGAAACAAACTGAGGGTTGTGGAGAGGGATGTGGGTGGAGGGATGGGGTAACTGGGTGATGGGCATTAGGGAGGGCACGTGATGTGATGAGCACTGGGTGTTATACACAACTGATAAATCTTTGAACACTACATCAAAAACTAATGATGTACTTATATGTTGGCTAATTGAATTTAAATTAAAAAAAATAAAATTATCAAAATACATTCAAAGACATAAAGAATAGTACAGCTAAGGCTTTGTATTCTTGTATCCTTCTGTGACTTTCTCTACCGTGTTTTTCAGAATTTTTTATATTTTATAGCACACCGTAGTTTATAACTTTTCTTAATTCAGGGTTATATTTGGGATTTATTCAAGGTGTTTTAAGGCTTCTTGAGGCAGACCTTACTGTTTCTCAGTCTTTCTAACATTTAGTTGATTAAAAAAATTTTTCCAATGTGTTGAATGTAAAATGGAGATTGTTGTAGTTTTAAAGGGCATTTTCCCTACTAGTGAGCTCATACATGTTTATGTTTATTGGTCTTTACATTTCTTCTGTGAATTACCCATTCATATCTTTTTGCACATTTTTCTTTTAGGTTGGTTGTGTGTCTTACTAATGTCTACATTTCATTAAAAATTCTTTGATTTAGGGGCGCCTGGGTGGCTCAGTTGGTTAAGCGACTGCCTTCGGCTCAGGTCATGATCCCAGAGTCCCTGGATCGAGTCCCGCATCGGGCTCCCTGCTCGGCAGGGAGTCTGCTTCTCCCTCTGACCCTCCTCCCTCTCATGTGCTTGCTCTCTCTCATTCTCTCTCTCTCAAATAAATAAATAAAATCTTTAAAAAAATAAAAATAAAATAAAAACTCTTTGATTTATATTTGTTGGTAATCTTTTAAGGAACACCTTACACATTTAATAAAGAACTTTTTACTGTGGGGTATTACCATTCCTGGTTCACATAAATTAGTTTTAAATTCTTAGACAGATTTGGGAAAGTTTCTAGAAAAGCAATATTAGTAAACACATTAAAGTTCTTGAAGGTTGATTTATAACCTTGCTGCTGGTGCCAGTTGAAAATTTGAGCATGTAAAATTCTGTAAGGCTCCATTATAATTTTGTAAAAAATCAGAATGCTGCTTAAAAGCTGCCATAATATTTATTTTAGTTTTTAATATTTGTTTATCTTTGTTTTTTCTCCTTAATTAGGTCCTCGATGGGCTTCCTGGAATATTGGTGTATTTATTTGCATCAGATGTGCTGGAATCCATAGAAATCTTGGAGTTCATATATCCAGGGTCAAGTCAGTCAACCTAGATCAATGGACACCGGAACAGATACAGGTAAACATTTCCTTACTAAGAGATTATTTACAGTATTTAAAATGCATTTAAAATCTTTAACCCTTCTTGCATCTAAGGGTTAACATTGAAAATGGAGTGTGTTGAAATGGCATGTGCCAGATATAAAATTTGGGCGTTACCTGAAATGTCCACTCTCAAATGTTTATATCTTCTTGGGTCCGTAGTGAATTCAGTTTTTGATCTATTCTTATTTAAAATGTTGCTTTTGAAATCTTTAAAAAAATCAATTCCTTTTCCTTGTGTTGGTGAAATTTGTGGTGTTGTTTTTCTGTCAGTAGAGGGAGCCTGGGTAAAGATAAAAAATAAATCACCTCTTGCCCAAGAACTGACTTGAAGGATTTCCCTTTTGTACAGAAGTGTTCTTGATTTTCAGACAGGGCCCAATAGTTCGAAGATAGCCTGGTTAGCAAATGTTCTAGTGACTGATTTGGATTTGTTTTGAGTTGGTTTAGCTTTGTTAGAGATAAATTTGTAATTTTAAGGGCTTGCCATTTTTATAGTGTGACAGTCTTAAATTTTCAAAATCTTACTTTCTAATCCTTAAGGTTAACTGCTAAAAGAGAAATGTTTATTTCTACTGGTTTTAATTTGTAATTCACAGTGAAATTATTGCAACATTTTTTAATGCTCTTTTTGAATTACTTTTAGTCAGTATGAAGGCTCAATACACAAATATATGTAGTGAACTTAAGTGATATACATACCTCTAATCAGAAAAAAACAAAAAGAACATAGGAATTGGCATGGATAGGGTGAGGTAAGGGTGAAAGAATAGAATATAATGCTGGGTGGTGGTGGGTCATAAATAAATAAAGATTTGGTTAAAGAAAGTAAAACTTCTGGGCTAAAGACATATTTATGCCAAAGTAAATTCTAGATAGAGCCAAAATTTAAATATAAAAAAAAAAATTAAACCTTAGAAATACTTGTAAAAGATAGCCAAGAGATCTTCAGGCTCTAAAGTCAAGCATAGCTTATTTAGTTCACTCTTAAATAAGTTTTTGAGGTTTTTGCTGGCTAGGGCATAAAAGGAAATATGGCACTTTATGTATTTTCCTAATCCTTGAGGAGAAAGCTTACTTGTTGTATCAGGGAAGCAGAGCTTTTTGAACATTGCATATAAGGCTCTGTTCTTGATAATATCTCTATAGTAACTGTGGTAACAGCTTTCATAATGTTGTTTCTTAAGTTGTCTTCAAGAAAATGCTAAGTGTAGCTTGAAAATGTACCTTGGTGTTTGTAATGGGTTATGTAGGTACAACACATTCAAGGCCCAAGGTGTATTGCCTTTTTAATGGTTCATTTCACACTAAGGACAAAACATGAAATCCTTGGACAATTCAGTTTTCCAGAATAATATTTTTCTCAACTAGGCTGTTAAAAGGAGTTGAATAGCAGCTTATTTGAGGTGAGCAGGTTCTTTTCCTATACCTGAGAGCAGAGCTTCCCAGTCAGAGGGCTGCAGCTGCAGTTCACTGGTTTTCTGTAGAATAGGTTATAGTTAAACAGCAAGATACTGAATTATTAAAAATGGCAGGCTTTTGAAAACAATTATTAAGTAATACACAGTCTTTGAAATTGTATTTGAACACGATGTGTATGGGTCCAGCTGTCAGCTTCTTGAAATAAGAATTATTATTTTGGAATGCAAGACTTTTGATAAGTACTTATCACCAGAGAATGCTCTGTATGGCTTCATATATCACAGAGCTCCTCTTTCAGTGTTCTGTGGTGAGAAATAAGGTTAGGACGTGCTCACTTAAAAATTAAATGAGTAGATAATGAAGTTTTATTAAAGAAAAGTATAGAAAAAAAGTATAAAGAAGCTTAATCACATGGACAGATGAGTAAGCCATCCAGTATTCTTAGGGTGGGCTTGTAAGTACTTGCAAGCAAAGCCAGAGTTGTTCTTTAAAAATCACTCTGGGACTACTATGCAATATAAATGAGTAAGGAATCGGTGAAGACCCCAAGGTTCCATCCTATAAAGCACAACCTTTATCTTAACCTAGAAAATTTCCAGGCAATTGATTCTAAAAAGGCAGTAGAACAAAGTGATTTAGAAAGTTGTCTCTAGATAGACTGCCAGAGTTCGACCTGGGTACTCCTGACAGGATACTTAACCTCAGGGTACCTCACTTTCTTCATTTATGAAATGGGAATAGTAAGAGTGTCTCCTTCTGTGTTGCTGTGAGGATAGAATAAGTTAATATGGGGAACGCATTTAGGACAGTACCTGGCACATTTTAAATACTCGATATTAGCTTATCACTTATTAGTAGTATTAGTCCATTTGTTCATTGTTTAAAACCTTCAGTATTGCTCCCTTGAATATCTTTCTGATCTTAAGCAATGTAGCTTCCTAGTAAATCTGTGATGAATTGGTTACTAAATGAACTACTAAGTAAATAAATTGATTCACTCTGTGGTATTGAGTATTAATTACTTTTTGAGGTTGTTTGTGAAATATAATTAATTCACTTTTAGTAATACTGGATGTTAAGGCATTTTGAGATGATTAGGTAATCATACCAGTTGTCTATTGGGGTTGCTCGTTACTCAGATTTAAACATACCCTTTTGCCTGTGATGGTAGGTATGTTCCATATAATCCAACTCTATTTGTACCTATGCATTTTATTTTTTACTTAAAAACATTGAAGTATAATTACAGAGATGACAATTTACAGATACGAGTTTTATGTGTCTTGGCAAATGTCTGTGCTGTGTCACCAACACCCCAGTGAAGATAGACAGAGCATTTCCATCATCCTATAAAATTTTCTTGTGCCAGTTTATAGTCAGGTTCCCTAGGGACAACCACTACACTGATGTCTGTACCCTTAGGTTGCTGTACATTGAGATTTTTATCTTTTGGAGCTTGTTCTTATTAACTCTGACTCTCAATTCAGATTAGGAAGAGTGAAGATTGCAGTGTAATTGAGTGTTCCTTATTCATATGACATTTTATAAGAATTTTTTGATATTAAAAAAAAAAGCTCAGGAGGCATTTATTTGCAGAAGGAAGTACTTTATTGCATGTACTTCTACCCTGTGTCTTCCCTTAACCACCACCCCCAACATTTCATGAAAATCATATTTCTAATTTTCAAAGATGATACTTAGTTTTGGGTAGTTGTATATATTTTTAGATCTTTAATAGCAAATGTGGAAACATGATTTAATCTCTGAGCCCAAACTGTTAAATGAAAATATTCTTTTTTGTGTGTCTCCATAAAATGTAACTACTTAAGGTTTGCCTCAAAGCTTCTTATAAACTGACATTATATATATGACATATTTATATCATTTATTTATATACATGTTGTGAGTGTGTGAATCAAGTTTTAGGGCATCTACCATATCATAGCTGTGTTAAAATTGCTTTATGCTTATTTTTAAAAGAAAATTTATCTATCAGAACTTATTTTGATTCTTATTAGCATGAAATAGAGTTACCTTACATTTTAATCAAAATTCTTTTTTAAAATGTGGTTCATGGTTAGAGTAAATGTCTTTCATCTTAGGTTTAATATCAGGCACTTTTCAAATTTTTAGAAAGGACCACTTTGTACTTTTATAAATACTATAATCTTTATTCTTTATTTTGTAATGGTTCATTAACCCCAAGTATTGATTACCATTTTTCTCCATTATTTAAAAATTTTTAATTACTTAGTTTTCATTGTGTTGAAGGAGTTAAAATAAAAATACCTTATTTTTACTACAGAGGAATGTTACTTGTGCTTTCAAGTTTCTTGACTTACTTTGTGCAGAGTCTTGTAAATTGTGCTGCCTTAATAAAACATCTTAGTGAGATTTTTGTCCCTATTGCAAAGTATACCACATATATTTGGTATTTATCTTGATAACTTTTAGACCACTTTTAATACTTTATGTATCTATAAATCTTTTAGTAACTTTCTTTCACAGATTCTTTATTTACTACTGACTAGTGTCATTTATTGATATGGTAGTTAGTATTTTCTTGGGAACGCCAAGGCCACACAACTGAAATTTATTCATTAATAAAATATATTCTGGGGAACTTTACATTTGAAACTGCCCAGTCTCCGTAGGCCTGTGATTTATCCTCAGTGAACTTGCCTGCAACATTTTGTGGGCATTTTTACTCCGTCTGTTAATATCTTTACCATTTTTACTTTAGCTTTGACTATATTTTGGCTAGAAGGAAGGGTCTTTAAACCCAACTCTTCACATCCTTGCTTACTATTATAACAAAAGAATAGAAGCTTGCTTGCTTCTCATTCCATCCAGCTCCTGAATATTTCTGCTTTGACTTCAGCTTTTTGTTCTCTTGTCTTAAGGGCAGAATGGAAGGTGGTAGCTGCTCGTTTCTCTGCCTTTATTTTCATTTGCAGCTTTCCTTCCTGCTTTTCCACCTAATTAAAAAAGTTATATTCATTTGGAGGCACATGACATTCTTTCTTCTTCTTTGAAACCTATTACTCACACCCTTCTGCCATAAGAGTCTTCCTAATACCATCTTTCCCTCATCATACAGCTCTTGACTCTGCTGTATTCATTTGTTCATTTGTTTGCTTATTCAGCCACTGAGCATTTATTAAGTACTCACAGTGTGCTAGCCACTGTATTCTAGTGACTGGCTCTTGTCTTCCTTTAGCACTTGAATTTCTGTTTCTTTACCTTACTTCTGCTTCTACTAACTCATTTCTGTTCCCATCCTTCTGCTAAGTTTGCACTCACAAAGAATACTAGTTGCCCCTAATGGCCAAATCCAACTCTCTTTCCTCCTCCTCCTTGGTCTTCCTGCTTCACTTGATAACTACCCACTGCCTTCTTGAAGCTTTTTGTTTGTGAAAGAAGCTAAAGTTACTCACCATGTCTTCTATTTGGTTTATTTAGTCTTTTTTTTTTTTTTTTTAATATTTCTTTTTCTGCTTTTTCCCCCTATTGGAGATTTTCTACAGTTTTGTCTTTAGCCCTGTTGTTCTTTAG